TTTTTTATAGATTTTATTTTTCATTCTGTTCGACTGTTATTTCCAGTTTAAAAAATATGAGCTGGCTGGAGCCTTCATCCCTTGTCTATTTCTTACACCAGATACCAGCCGATACCCCCCCCCCCGCTCATAGGGAGTGCGTACAGTTGATCATAGTTCCTGGGCTCCCTGTAATTTTATTATGCGATGTATTCACAATTTTAAGTGTCCAATAATAATAATAATTCATATTTGTATCTGTACTGCAATATTTACCTTCTCCATTTTGTATACAGTATGACGTCATTAAAGGAACTCCAGGTGGTGGTGGTGAATACGATGTACAGGTGAGTCACTCGGCGGGGTCAGCTCTGAGGTCATCAAATCATGTGTGGCGATTGGTTGATGTGCACGTTCTAAATCGATAGCGAAATAGCGTATTTGATCTTGTTGGGTGTGCTCATATGGCATTATGGCAGTGACTAAATTATCTGGTGGGGAATCTTGATTTTACTACACCGATGCTCATTATGCTTGTTTACTATGTTTACAATTTTGTATTCTTTTTTTTTTTTGAAAGCTTGGATTTGGTTGGACCAATGGTGTTGTTATCCAAATGTTAAAAAGATATGGAGACGTGTTGACCCGGGAATACGTAGATGTTAGTTCAACGGTGCCCATGGTTACAGACATCAGCCTCACTCTATTTCTTGTTATTCATGCCGTGGCGGCCATTGCCACGACCGTTTTGTTGTAATCACAGTATAACATTGTTATATCCAGTTTATTTTTAAACACCGTTCCATAATGTTATATCCAGTTTATTGTAAACATCGTGCCACATAATTATATCCAGTTTATTTTAAAGGGTGGCAGTCGTCGCGCCGCGCTCTGTTCGATATGGGACTTATAGCGACGTATACAACGCGTGTAAAATACATTGTTTATTTACATGAAATTCGAACACGCGCTGCGTGACGACCACCGCGCTTTAAATACCGTGCCACATTATTATATCCAGTTTATTTTAAACACCGTTCCACAATGTTATATCCAGTTTATTGTAAAAATTGTACCATATTGTCATGTTCTGTTTATAGAGGAGGGGCAAGGGGGTTGGCTGGTACAGTTTCTTTACGAAAAATAAAAAGGGCTTTTTACAATTTACAAGAAAAAAAGACGTTTTTACAGTTTACAGTGAAAATTGAATTTTGCAGTGAATTGTGTCATCTAGTCGTTTAACAGTTTTGAAAATAAAATTTCCCTGGATTATTCATTACGACTTTTTTTATTTGGATATAAATTCTTGTACGTACCGAGACAAATTACACATTTTTACAGTGTACAAAAAAAATATTTGATTGATTACGTTGTACGTCTAGCCTGTGATTACACATGATAATTACGGAATTTATTTTTTTCAATTTACGTTGTACGAACAAAAAAATATTCCAATTATGTTGAACGAAAATAACCCTTGCCTCCCCCCTTTATATATTCACATTACAGGGCCCAATCACCTGTAGCACCGCTCTACTTGTTTAATGCATACTAATTATTCTACCAAAAAAATATTATGCCATAAAAAATACAGCAGTTGTATAAACCAGTAGTTTTATGCAACGAAAGTTGAGGCCTTTAGTCTTGAAAGAGTTCGTGCATTGTCTCGTCCATCGTACTTATAATAGTATCTACTATTATTTAATTTGTGAACCTAAAAACTTTTTAGAAACTAAGTTTGAGCATATTTTTCTTAATTTTTTGTGCCAATACACAATAACTCAGGTGTAAATTATGTTGCGATTCGACGTAAGTAATCCTGAACAAAACTTGGGTTGGTTGTCTGAGGTTAAAACGGCCATGATCGCGGCCGAATAACCAAGTGTTTGCTTGTGGATATTTCATATGTTCATAACGTGGTGATCATTTACTATATTTTATAATCACATTTAGTTCCAATCGTGTTCTATAAATCATAGAGTGGGTGTTCATTTGCGACCATTTGTATAACGTTTATTGCTGTAATTTGTGATCTCTGAACTCTGGCGACGTCAAAATTCACAGGTCTACGATGATTCATTGGTTTAGTTATTTACATGTAACGATGATTTATATCGCATTTCATTATTGTTTTATTTTCTGTCAATAAATAATTACGCAAACAATGCATATTATTTCACAAACTATACAAATACATCATCTCAAAATATAGTAGCATGTTAGCCCATAGATGAATCTGTCCTCACATGACCCTCTTCTGTAAAGTCCATCCGGGCTAAATTTCCAGTCATCCATGGTAATACAAGTGTTATGAGTGTTACACCGAATTTGTGGCCACGTGCAGGGTATTACCCTATCCTCGGTGGCGGAGCTACGTCACAAGACGTTCCACGTTGCTAAGACGCGCACCACTGTACATGTATTTCTATGGGCTCTGTGCGCGCTGATGTGGAACACTGGTCGAGCCAGTGAAAATTCGAGAAAAAAACACTAACTCAACTTTGAAGTAATCCTGAACAACCAAATTTACATATGTTACACACGTAGGGCTATTCTTGTTACACTGATCAGGGGAGTCTCAACAACCATCCCAAAGTACCGTTTTCTGTGAGTTTTTGGCCTTTGTTTTCACCGTTTGTCCGTCCCCGAGGATACATAATAATTTTCACCATAGTGTTCCATATCTTTTTACCTTCGCTTGTAAAAATGGAAGAAATTATTCGTATTCTTAAAGAGAAGTAGATCTTTATTTTACAGTCTCCACTTAGACTTGCTTGCAGTCTGTTGCGATTCCGATGAAAAATCTTGAAAAATAAATATAAATTGCGTAAACGAGGGGTGAACGCGAAAGTCATGTGACCGCGAAATCTCAACAGACTTGCCAACAGTGTTAGTGCCCTCACAGTTCAGTGACTCAACCGAAGGAATCTACCACGACTGCTTCATCATATAGTACTCAATTTATACCAAAGACCTCAGATATTAGAATATATTCATCATAAATTGTCTAAAATAATAATCTATGACCGCCTTATCTGCAATTAAAGAATGGTCTAAACTACACGCCATCATTTTCTATCAACTGCTTTTGAGTAAATTTCATTTTTTCGGCCATCTTTTCTCTCTGGAAACATAGTTACTATTCTTCTAGTAACCGTGGTTAAATATGTTTGAGCACAAAAGAGTCTTCGTTGTCTCCCTCACTTCAGGTGTGGGATAATGCTGGGAAAAGCCTGCCCGGCTCCAAAGTCTGGTTTTGTATCGACCAGTCACTATGCACTTAAAGCGGGAGGATCGTCACCAGTGCACGCGCGTGAATTGAGTTCCAAGCGACGATAACAACACACGCTAAAAACGCAAAGGCTCATGGCTAGGCGCACAAAGTAATTCATTAGGCACATCGTGGAGTGAGATTACACTTTTCTGTGAGCAGTATTATATTATAGGAATGTCCATCATTATAATACCATGAACAAACAAACAGATCATTCACTTCTGAACCTTCGATCAGTGCACCCTCTCCCAAATGCTCAACTGACTTTCCTACAAAGAACATACATTTCTATGCACGTGCGGACAATGTTCATAAAAAAAATCAGTGAAAAAGCGAGTCACTACAAAAACAGATCAAATTGTGAAATTGTCTCTCTGCCTGTCCTTTGGCATAGGCTCAAACATAAACATAATTCCCATTTTCAAGTTAATAGTGACAGAAATAAAATTCAGTCTTCAATACACCCAAACCATAACATTTGGCATTGAAGTACCTAAAGCGCGGTAGTCGTTGCGCTGCGCATGTGCGAGATATATGGGTCTCATATAAACAAATATGGCGACTTTGACTGTTGCGCAGATCAACGAGTACGAACTGAGACGTTTCCAAGCTTTAATTGGGTATTTTTAGGAGATTGGAAGGTATTGAAGGAGTCACCGGCGGTAATTAGTGCAAGTCGCGTCCAGTTCAAACCTCATGTGATTTCCATTGGAAAAGCGCATTGGATTGTGGGAAAATCAATGTTAATCAACATAAATGTCGCACACGCGCAGAGCGACGACCACCGCCCTTTAATAATATTGAAATGATCCCATTGAACTGTGGTCAACAGTTAGTAATGACCCACCCACAATAGCATATATAACATAATGGAATGATCCACAGTCTTGCGTTGTGGTCACTATTTACAAGTGGCTGTCACATAATAGAATATAAAACACAATGGTTGTGTACGGCTATCACTAACACCGACGTGAGAATATTCATATTTAACTGATTACCCAGATAACGATAGAGATAATTATGGTAAATATATTCACGAGATTCATCTCCGTTTTAATTGTATTGGTGATATCGAGTTTCGTCAGAATACAGGTATGTGAAGGAATTCAATATTTGCTTTTTATCGTGCGTCAAAGTGGTCACACAACATTAAATATATTAGTGTTTGCTACTTGGTTTTAGAATATGAGATTGCCACTGTTTACAATATAGTGTGGGAGTAATTATTGGTGTCGGGGAAAACGACGTCGCTGTACATGTACGACAAAGATATTTGAAGTGTAAACCTCTTTATATCAACATATCTTTTTGGATCAACTTAGTAACGTCAATACTGACATGTCTTTATGTTTACATACATTTATGACAGTTATCGTTAACCCTTAGACAACTTATTAGTTGTCTGAGGTTAAAGGGCGGTAATCGTCGTGCCGCGTCCTGTTCGATATGGGACTCATAGCGACGTATAGAAATTTCCATTCGGGGCATGATACGTTATTTAGAACATGGTTATTCATCACATAGCGGAACACGGTGACGCCTCGGGTCACGATTCACTTAGAAGGTTAAATAGCACAAAGTACATTGATACCAATTATAATGTGCATTGTGAAGCAACGTCATGGCACAGAAGCATGGAATGTAAAGGAGAAAGTCACAATAGAACCAGTGAAACACGATTTATTCACACAAATTATTATAAATTTTGTTAAGATCCCGAACTAGACATGAATGATTTATGTATTGAATGTACGTGAGCAGGTAGCCCGGGTAGCCAAGTGGTGATGGAACTCCTATATATTATCGTCGCCTCTATTACATACCTTCCATTTCCACCTGTGCGTCATACATGGCCACAGTAATGATTATAATAGTACCTATATCTGTTTTATTTGTATTCGCTTCAAAAAGTGGCAAAATTCATTGTGAATTTATTGTAAAGACCACAGTTTAGCATAAAATTCATCCTTGTTTTTGTTTTTATATTTAAATAATCCTTTAATAACGCTACACAAAGATTCAATTCAATGACGTAACGTCTTGGCTCTGTAAAGCCTTATAAAAGCCATTGTCCACATCTATGAAAGATGGGTTCCGTCTCATGAAAAATCGTACTGGTTTCAGTTGGTGATTTACATACTTATTGGTTTGTTTCTAAGCGAAATGACGACTGGCAGTGATCAGACAGATCCAAATTT